AAGTATCCTAGTCATAAATGGGCTAGGGAATTGAGCACAGACTTCTCAAAAGAAGTACAAATGGCTCAGAGGTATATGAAAAACCATTAAACATCTTTAGCCATTAGGAAGACTCAAATCAAAAGTACACTGAAATCCCATCTCATCCCAGTCAGAAGGGCTATCCTCAGATTACCAAAAATAAATGTTGATGAGGATGCTTGGTGGGAGATGGTAGTGGAGGTGAAAGGAATGCTTTTACACTGCTGGTGGGAATGTAAATTAATACCACCACCATGGAAGCTCCTCAGAAAACTAAACGGAGGACTGCTGTATGACCACCTGTACCATTCCTTCCTACACACCCAGAGCAGTTCCAGTCGGCACAAGATGGGTAAACCTGCATTGCCATGTTTCTTGTGTACAATTCACAACAGCCAGAATTGAAAACAGGTAGGAGTCCATCAACAGATGAATGGATGCAGGAAAATGGATGGAACTGGAGATCATCGTGTTAAGTGACATAAGCCATATTCAGAAAGAGAAGTGTCACGTTTTCCCACATATGTAGAATTTTTAAAAGATGACATGAGGGCTGGGGATTTAGCTCAGAGTGGTTCCACCGCCTGCTTCAAAAGCCCAAGGACCCAAGTTTAATCCCTGGGACCAGAAAAAAAAAAAAAGATGACATGAAAGTAAACTACTAATAGATAAGAGGAAGGAAATAAGGAGGGGAGTTTATGATCAAAATATATGCAGGTATGAAATATCATGTTGATACTCAATATTTATTTATTTTTTGGCACTGGGGATTGAACTCAGGACCTTGTCTTTGTAAGACAGGCAGTGGAAACACTGAGCTAAATCCCTAGCCCAATACTCAGTATTTTATAAAATAGGTATTAAAAAAAACCTTTTTTTTGGTAGCAGAAATCGAACTCAGGGACTTGCACTTGCCAGGTAAAACATTTATCAAAAAGAAAAAAGTATGCTGGCTATGGTGGGACACACTTGTTCTCCCAGATACTCCAGAGGTCGAGGCAAGAGGAATGTGAGGGCAAGGCCAGCCTAGGCCACATACTGAGAACTGTGTCAAGCGACCCAATGGTAGATCACTTGCGCAGCATATGTGAGGCCTTAGATTCGATCCCTAATACTGCACCAGGGGGCCGGATAGGGAGAAGGGGGGATGTCTGTCATTTAAAAACTTGACAGCACTCAGGAGGCTCACTGTGAGTTTGACACCAGCTTGAACTATATAGCGAGACCCTGTCTCAAAAAAACAACAAAACAAAACAAAAAAACCCCAAGAACAACAAAAACACAACAAACTTGAAATAACTTAGGGGAAAAATGAGCAATACAATGGCTTAGTTTCTCTCAAATGTGTATTAAACCAAAACGCCACACAAGGGATCTCTGAAATTCAAGGGTTTATTGAGCAACTGTAGATACTGGCAAGAGAAAGGACCAGGTTTTGGGGTAAGTTTCCATAACTACCACAGCAAGGCTAGGTATCAGTTGGGAAAATGTCCATTACACCTAGAATGAAGAGTATTTTTCTAATGAAAACGTGAGGAGGAAAACGTAAGTTGCTCAACTCCATACTGGCTTATAGACAAGGAGGTGGGAGGGCAGCCCATATAACCATTAACCTTATATGTAAACAGGGTGTGAGGTCCCTGGTGGTCTGCTGTGACGAGACTGAAGCCAAGGTTTTAAAATAATTTGGAACAAGTTAGTTTGGCCCGAGGAGGCTGGCTTACTAGCTTCTCTCTTCCCTTCTTTATCTTTGGCCCTTGTGCTTAAATTGAGGGCATCTGAGGATTTTTCCTTGATGGAGAGCACCTGTTTATACAATGGGACTAGGAGGAAAGAAGAGAAGTCAAGCACTAGGTGGAGGGTGAAATTCAGACTGCTTGTCTTGCTACAGTATGAAGTGACCACACACAGTAAAATGTTTAACTCACTTTGAAAAAAAGTATCAAGTAGAGAGTTGGTTTGACTTTTTGAAGTTTTCATAATGATGAAAGGTCTAGATCATCCTGCTTCAGCCTCCTGGGTGCTGAAATCATAGGCATGTGGCACTACTCCTGGCTTTTGTTCTTTCTTTGCTTTTTTGTTTTTTGAGGTAGGGGCTCATGATGTAGTCCAGGCTGGCCTCGAACTTGGGACAATCCTGTTTCAGCCTCCAGAGTGCCGGGACTCCAATGTGTGCCACCGTGCCCATGTGGCTTCCTTTCTTGATCTTTCATTATTTTCTCTTGACACAGAGCTATGCTCACATGATTTCCTGTTCCTGAATGTTCTTCCCATTCTTTTTGCCTGTGTAATTCTTACTCAGACTTTAGGGTTCAAAACAAAGGATATGGACCTAAATAAGACTTCTTGAATTCTCCCGATCAGGTCCTCTCTGTTTATAGGTCCCTATAACTCTGGGTCCTCAACTTTATCCCATTCTTTTCACAGAGGTATATATTTGTATGGTATTTTGGCAGAGAGGGGGAAAACACCCAGAATAGGTAAATGGGACACTGAAGGGAGCAGACTTGGGAATCAGGCTGTCGGGTTCACATCTGGACTCCGTCACGTAACCAGCGATGACCTGAAGCTTACTGTGTGCTATAGTTTCATCATGTGTGAGATCAGGATGATAATAATCCGTATGTTAAAGGGCACGTGAGAATGAAATGAGGCCACATATGTGAAGAGATGCGAACAATGCCTAGCACATATAAAGGCATGTGCTTATTTAAGTGTTACATCATCAGCAGTACTATTGTTTTGATTGAAGATGATCATTCAAAATTCTGTATACATTCACCCAGAAGCATTTTTATTTTTTCCCAGACAGAGTCTCACTCTGTAGTTCAGGCTGGCCTTGAACTCATGGTGATCCTCCTGCCTCAGCCTCCTGAGTGCTGGGATTACAGGCATGTGCCACCAAGCAAGGTGAGAAGCATTTTTAATATTTCTAATAGCAAAGTAAGTTTAAAGTGCTCACACACTTCAGCTGTTCAATATCCACTTATGCAAAGTAAGAAGAAAAATAAATACTCAAGATAAATATGCTCTAATATTTGGGATTCAGATAGGATTTGACATTTATGCCAGAATGTATTTTAGTTCAAGATAGTTAGGAATGATGGTATTTTGCTTTCATTTTTTCACCCCATATTATAGTTAATTGGTTGATTTAAAATAGCTAAACAAGAGCCTCAAATTCTTTTTATCCTTTCTCAATGCTCAGTTTGAACTGCTAATATCCATTACCATTTTTATATGTTTCCAGTCTTTCCCATGATATGTAAGCTTTGTGTGAAAGTAAAGAATGGTTTAAAAGTACTTTGCAAGTCACAGGCATTGAAATACTTTTTATAGTCTTTATTGGCTAAGCTGTATACCTGATAATATTTTCCTGTCCCTGAAATATGTTTCATCAAGTGTTTACATTTTATATTAGCAGAATTAGCTTTCATTCTTAGTAATATAAGAAATTATAAAGATTTGTAAAATAAATGATATATATATAGTAATACCAAAAAAACCCCATTAAATATGAGAGTGTATCTGTATAGTACAGTACATGGAAAGCCACTTATAATATCAAGTTAAAAAAAGAAAACTACATGTAGAATGTTAATATCTACACGTTTATGTACATAGAGAAGAAAAGTGTTAAAACGTGAACAATAATAGTAGCTTTCTTTCCTTTGTTATGTCAGTATCTTGTAATATGAATACTTACTTTACAACTTTGCCATACTTGGAAAATATCTGAAACAAAAGACCACACAACAATTTATAATTTGAAATAAAAATCATTTTCAGGTTGAATACACTGACCAAATTCTCTACTGTAGTTTATGAAAAATTCTGACCTTCAGTATATAAAAAAGGCTGTACAAGAAACATTTTCCAGATCACTGCAACATTCTTATTGTTATCAGAGTTGCATGTGTCTTTGTAAGCTCCTAAAAACACACTCTCCCTGTGGTACACAGCAGGCAGATATACTGGATACCTCTGTGCTCCTGGGTTATGTCCATGGCAACTACCGACTCGACCACAGCTCCAGATACCTCTGTGCTTAAATATCAATTTTGTGGAGTATTACTGTTCTTATCTGCACCCACAGATTAAACAGTCACTGTTAAAGAAGATAGATCTAGACTGCTTATAAAACAAAACAGTTTCCAGAATGAAAAATCCATTTCCAGAGTCTCCATTTTCTGTCTACCATTAATATGTTGGTGGTACTTTATACTTGGCCCTATGTTCCCTTCTACATCTTCCCCCTAGGCATCCCCATTTGTACAGTTTCAGTCAGTGCCTAGATACTTCTAGTTCTTATTTATAATATTTCTTTCTTTTTTTTTTTCGGGTACCGGGGATTGAACTCAGGACCTTGTGCTTGCGAAGCAGGTATGGGGCCATTAAGCTAAGTTCCCGGCCCCATTTATAATATTTCTCAGAAGTCTATTGGAG